TCTCCAGGAAGTACCAGGTCCAGCCGATGAGGGGCACGTAAAGCAGCTCCCTTTTAGCCAGGACTTTGGAACTCTGGGGGGGAGGGCAGCTGGTGCATCAGGGCCACCGGGTCCCAGAGGGCAGCACTGCCTCAGGCCACCCCCAAGACTGGCTGTCATCGGGAGCCCCTGACTCTGAGTGTGGGGACCAGCACGGCCCAGACGAGGAAACCATGGAAAGACCTGGCCGGCACAGGCCGATGCTGGCAGGCGGGCGGGCGGGAAGCCCAGGGCACAGACTGCACACTGGACTCCTGGGGCTGCTCTGACCACCAGGCCCAAGGGTCCCTGGGGATGATGCCAGGGGTCATATCCCACGAGCTTCCAAGCAGAGGCCCCCTCGGCCTGTCTTATCTGAGGCAGCTGAGCTGACCAGGGAGGAAGGAGCTATGAGAGGAAGCGCAGCGACACCTGATCGCTCGAGCCAGCCCCCCGGGGAGCTGGGGGCAGCCTGCAGCCCCAGGCACCTGCGGGCAGCCATTCACTCGGACTCCTAGCTTGGAGGGACTGGGGCGAGACCCAGAGGCAAGGGAAACCCAGAGCCACGCCCGCACCTCCCAGGGCCCCGGGCCCCCACGCTGCTCACCCCCAGCACACCGAATCGCTCGCACATGGTCCACCCGCAGAGGAAGTCGATTTCGAAGTTGTGATTGAGGATAATGACCGCGTGCTCCTTCCCAAAGCGGGCCACCGTGGCCTGGTCGGTGAACAGGGTGCATGCGGTGCACGACCACCACTCCAGTAGCATGACCAGCTCTGTGGACACACAGGGAGGGATGTCAGCGAGGTGTGGGTGGCCACCCTCCGGGCCCTCCCTTCCCGCTCCTGATGTGGGCGGGGCTCCTACAGCCTTCATCCAGACTGGGATTTTCTGCTAGAAAGGAGTTTTGATGGCTTATATTTAATAAATTAAGGTTTCTAAAATTATAATTACCCTCTCTAAGCAGAAGTCAGGGGAGAAGTCAAATGAAAAGGAGGAGAGATGGAGGAGGAAACACATTTTACGTGGACTTTTCTTTAATCAATGTATCTAAAGGACATGATTTAAAATATTTTTTCTTAAAAATCAGATATTCCATAAAATAGTGCAGTGAGCAAAGCATTCACTTAATAGAACATACCATTATCATCATCATCATATTATTATTATTACTATCAACAACCACTTCTGAGTACCGACGGGACACCAGGAGCTCTGCTCTGTACGTTGCACCTGGCACCTCATCTAACTCTCAAGCATCTCGGGGTGGTGCTACTGTTGTTCCCAAAACCCGGAGGAAAGGTAACTTGTCCGTGAGTGCCAGAGCTCCGACTTAAGCCCAACATGCCAACTCCGAGGCTCTGTGGAAGGTTTCAGAGGAAGCTTCAAAACGCAGAAGTAACTGAGCAAACTAGGGCCTGGTCCAGCCATAAAGGGACCTTAAACTTACATATGTCAAGCACAGTCATTCTCATCCACATTACTCTTTACAGAAAGTTTAGGTGGATTTCTTCATCTTCCTGTCGGGCTCCGATTCTCCCGTGCGCCGTGGACTGATGGGAAACCACACGCTGCATCCACGGAATAGGGGAGAGGCGGCTGTGGGCACACAGCCAGCCCGCGGCCGTGGCCAGCACCACGCCCACCACGGCCGGGCACCCTGGAAGGGTGGTCTTAGATCAGGAAGGACGGCTCCCAGGCTCAGGAAGGTGGCCAGATGGCCTGTCCTTTGTGAGCTGGACACCAACCCCTCCGCTTTCGGAGGGGACCAGCCCTGGAAGACAGAGGCCGGGGAACGCTGACAGGCAGGCAGCCCGGTGTTTAGAGAGGCTCCAAGCCTGACTGCCTGGGCCCGTCTCCCCAGTTACAGGAAGGGGCCAACAGTGGCTTCCTCACAGGGCTGCCGGGAGCGCGGAGTGGGGACCAGAACATGAAGTTAACACCTGAGAACCAGGGGGCCAGGGCTGGTTCCCCTCCCCAAGAGCGTCCCCACCAGCCCAAGTGGAAGTGTGGGGACACACAGCTCTGCCCCACAGGCTGGGGTCCCAGCTTCCTCTTCACCACAAGGCGTGGCTGGGCGAAGGCCGTCTCTCGGACACCCCTACACTCCTGGGACCAATGGCCAATCGGAGGAGGGGCCCTAAGGGGGCTGGTGAGGAGGAATGAAGTGCAGACAGACAGACAGAGAGACGCAGGCGGTTGTTCTCAGCATCCTGGAGGAGGCGCCAGCAGAGGCCCACCTGCGGAAGGCGGCCTTTCCAGGCAGTGCTCTGCCGCCAGCTGCCAGCGCCCGCGGGGCAGCGGCTCAGCCTTTCTAGACGCACTGGCCTCCCTGTGGACGGATGTGCTGCCGCGGACGAAGCTGTTCTGCTCACAGCCAGTCTGGGGACTATTTCAAATTAGGAGTTTTGCCGGTTGGCTCCTGGGTCCAGCACTAATTTTTTTGTGACTTCTTTCATTCAGACACAGGCTTGCCCTTGCACACGTGTGAGCAAGCCATTCTCTGCACACTTCAACCAATGATTTTTGGAAAAAACTCAAAATCTGCCTGTTGGTAGTAAACTTCTGGGCAGCGCTGCCCACAGATTCTACACACTGACGCGGTCTTGACAGTACAGCTGAGAGGCGACATCTGCTTCCCAGGTGAGAAGGGCAGAACCTTGGCTGGGTCAGCAGGGAGCCAGGGCCCAAATGGGAGGTCTGGCTCCACATCTGTGCCCTTAACACGGCACGGAGGCTCCTCAGCCCGAGGATGACAGGGTCACACCAGAAATGGGCTCAGGTGGGCAGCGGAAAGTGCCAGGCATCACAGAATGAGGAAGGTGTGGCCGCAGACTTGAGCATAAAGCAGTGGCCCAGGGCCACCTAGACAGAGCTGTGACTCCCGCGCTCACCATGAGCCACGCAGTTGGGGAAGGGCTTCCACCAGCTCAACTCGGGCTCACATGTTTGAGAAATAAGCACGTGAGAACCTCCCCAAATCCGCTACCTCCCGGGGGCGACTCCCACAGCGCGGGGGTGTTCCTCCCAGACAGACAGGGGATTTTACATAAATCTTAATTTCTACCTCAAGTTTTCTTATTTTATGCTTTCCCCCCCTACTTTCTTGTCTTAAAAAAATGAACTTGTCTTTGCTTTTTTTTAATATACTCTTTTTAAAGTATGGTCGGTTTATAATGTGTCAATTTCTGGTGTGTAGCTTTAAAAATCCACCTTTTCTAATCGTTTGGAAGTTCTGTTGGACTTCTCTGTCCAGTTAACAAAGTCTGGTGGTGAGATCCCCGCTCTGTTCCCAACAGACACGAGAGCGACAGTCTAACTGTGACCGTGCCGTTCCGGGTACACAGGCTGCGGGTGTCAGCCCTGTGCACTTGCAGCCTCGCAAACTGGGCATCATTTCTGCTGGTAAGACTGTTTAGACTCACCTGCTAACCAGTGTCTCTGGTGCCGGACCCTGTAACTCAGACCCGACTTTGAGGATGGCTTCTGTTCTCGCTGAAGAACACGCTTTACGGAAACTTCAGGTGAAGGCGGGCGGCAGTGATCAGCTCCCTTTCTGTTTCCTTCGGACTGTTCCTCTGTCTCCTCGGGAAGCTCCCTCTACTGGACGTAGAGTTCTGGGCTGGGCTGCCGCGGCCCAGGGCCCCGGGCTCTGGCCACGTCCGCAGGGGCTCCGTCCGCCTTCAGAGGTGTTCCAGCTTTCCCTTCTGGGGGTTTGTAAGATCTTCTTGCCTCTGATGGTCTGTGATTTCTCTATGATGGGCAGCAGGGTGGATTTCTGTTTATCCAGCCTGCCTGGTGCCCATGCGTCTCCCAGAGCAACAGGATCATGTGCTTCATCCACCCAGGGAAGTTCTCAGCCACCATCTCCTCCAGTGAGAAGAACTTCTCCTTACTCTCCCTGCTGGGCCAGGGGTCCAAGACGGCTTCACAGACCTGCATCCTCGCCTTACACCTTTAACTCAGATTTTGTACTTTTCATCTGGTCACTCACTCTGCGGCAGTCTGATGACTTCTTCACATTTGTGTCTGGTTTACCTACTCTCTCGTTAGCTGCATCTAATCTGTTGTAAAATCCAATCACTAGGTTTTTTACTTCAAAAAACATTATAATCACAGTTTTTATTCACAGAAGTTCTACTTGGCTGTTTTTCAAATCTGGTCACCTGGGCTGTCTTTTGTCTGTCTGTTGCTGTATGTTTGTTGTTCTCTGAGCTCACATATGATTTGCCTTCATCTGTGTGGTTCCTCAGGCCTGAATTACAGACACTTCCCCCCAGGGCATACTTCTGTTGGCCTCTGCTGACCCACGGGCACTGCTAGCTTCTCACGTCAGCCATCTCTCAGGCTTCTGTTTTGTTTTTGTTTTTAATTGAAGTACAGTTGATTTACAGTGATCTGTTAGTTTCAGGTGTATAGCACAGTAATTCAGTCATACATACATACATTTCTTTTCCAGATTCCTTTCCATTATAATTTATTACAAGATATTGAATATAGTTCCCTATGCTGTACAGTAGGACCCTGCTGTTTATTTTCCATATAGTAGCTTGTATCTGTGAATCCTAAACTCCTAATTTATCCTCCTTTTCCCCTCTGATAACCATAAGTTTGTTTTCTATGTCTGTGAGTTGGTTTCTGTTTTGTAAATAAGTTTGTCTGTGTCATTTTTAAGATTCCACATGTAAGTGATGTCATATGGTGTTTTTCTTTCTCTTTGTGACTTACCTCACTTCGTGTGATGATCTCTAGGTCCATCCATGTTGCTGCAAATGGCATGATTTCATTCTTTTTTATGGCTAAGTATTATTCCATTGTATAAATACACCACATCTTCTTTATCCACTCATCTGTCAACAGACATTTGCGCTGCTTCCGTGTCCTGGCTGTATGTGTCTTTTTCAATTATAGTTTTTCCCGGACATATGCCTAGGAGTGGGATTGCTGGATCATATGTAACTATTTTTAGTTTTTCAAGGAATTTCCATGCTGTTTTCCATAATGGCTGCACCAATTTACAGTCTCACCAGCAGTGCGGGAGGGCTCCCTGTTCTCCACATCCCCTCCAGCATTGATCATTTGTGGACTTTTTGATGACAGCCATTCTGACTGGCCTGAGGTGATACCTCATTGTAGTTCTGATTTGTATTTCTCTGACAGTGACATTGAGCATCTTTTCATGTGCTCAGGATTCTGGTTTAGACTCAGCCCCTTTCTTGCAGCTGCCCAGGAATTTGGCTGTCTTGCAGTGTTTTACCTTCGTAAGACTGCTGGAAGTGCAGTCTACAGCTTTCATTAACTAGTATTTGCCCTTCTGCTATGCATTCCTCTCCCCAGTGACACCCATGAATAACTCATCTGTATACTTTATATGGTAGGATTTCTAACTCTCCCTCTTACACACGCAGGAAAAAGGTAGCCCATTATTTAGTACAAAATCACCTGGGAATTGAAACGACTGCCCTTCTAAGGTGAGAAGCCTGGGAGGGACTGCTGTCCCTTCCCAGGGGGGCTGCATGCACTTGGGCTCAGTCACCCCCACAGCCGCCACAGCTGCCATCTACCTGCTCCCACACTAGGCGGGGTGACGGGGCGATGGCGTCAGATGCACAGAGTCACTGCTGCCCGTGCGACATCAAACGTGTGTTACTTTCTCTTTATTGTAAAAGAAACGTGCTCTTCTGCTAAGATCTTCTGCTAAACAGCACACCCTGAATAAGCAGTGTCCCACCTTCCTCGGCTCCCCGGAGGCACGTTTTCTGCTCGTCCTGCAGTGTTTTCCTGTGCAGGTGCAGCCACAGCACACACACATCTTCAAAAAGCAAGGAAACAGTAGCAACTATGCAGTTGGTGCTACAGATTCCTTTTTCACTTAAACATGTGTCTTGAGGGTGGTCCTCTCCCAGTAAAGAGAAATCACCCTTGTCGCTCTGGACGGTTGTGCAGGATTCCATCCCACGGACAGAGCGGAGCTGGTCTCCATTCATGGGCATTTAGGCTGCTGCCAAGTTCTGTGCTAATATCAAAATGATAAAGCGAGACTACCTGTGCACATGTGTACTTCTGCAGGTATCTTTCTAGGTTACATTCTTATTTTGTGGAAAAATTGGGTCAAAAAATGAACCGTTTTAACTTGCTGATCACTCCTGACCAAAGCTGCCGACCAAAGATGTGCCTTGTCACCCAGACCCACAGTGTGAGCGTCCACCGTCGTCAGCAGTGGGTGTTGCTACCAGGCTTTTAAGTCTCCGTCCATCTGACGGGCGAAGACTGATTGTATATGTACAAACGCACACACATCACAAGTGCATACAGGTGACACCTGCACACGTCTGCACACGTGTATTTAAGAGACGGGTGAGAGTCTTCTTTCAGAGAAGGATGCTGAAACACTGACACGTGAAGTGACAGGCCACACGAGGGTGGCCTCACAGCGCTCCGGAGCCGGGGAGGCTGGGGCAGAGGGGACACGAGACTGGCCACGCCCTGGCAGTGGTTAGGGCTTGGTAGCCATGAGCTCAGCTTACTGTTGTTTGTTTTCACACATCCCAAGTTCTCAGTGAAACCACGTGAGACTGCCGCCTCTGCGGGTCCAGACGGTCAAGGGATGGGACGTCACATGACTCCAACTAACCAAGAGCTCAGGCCAAGCGTCTCCCTGCACGTCTACGGCCAGGAGTCAACCTCGGCGTCCCGAGTTCCTGGTCAGGGAGTGAGAGGTGGCCCACTGCCCCCCGTCACCGCAGCAGGAGCGAATATCCAGCCCCGGGGGCCCTGCACACGGGAGCATCAGGCTGGTCTGCGCAGGGGTCAGGGGTCCTCCAGCAGAAAGGGCCCCCCCAGCCCCCCGCCCCCCCGCCACGTGTCCCCGCCGCACTCACGGCTCCAGAGCGAGTAGGCGAGGCGGCAGTTGAGCCGGCGGTACAGCTGCTTGTTCAGGGGCCAGAGGATGAGTGTGCAGAGCTGGACGAAGTTGATGACCAGCCCGCTGACCACAAAGACGAAGCCGATGAGGAGGTGCACGACGAACTGGGTCTTCAGGAAGGCGAGCAGGCCCATGGCCACAGCTCAGTAGCGCGTGCAAGGTCCCTCACTGAGAACGGCCGTCCTGGAAGGAGGAGCAGTGGTCAGGGGGTGCCTGGGACCCCCGGAGGAGGGTCTGCAGGCGGAGGAGAAACCCACGGTCCTCACGCCAGAGCCAGACCTGTGGGGCCTGTGAGCCAGCAGCTCACCCGCAGTGTCCTCTGCATCTGTCCCGTCTATAGTGACACACGGTAGACGGGTGAGCGGACACACACTGTTCACACGGGTGTCATGTGCACACGCACACACCATGCCACACCACACACACACACACACACACACACACCAGACACACACACACACACTCCCATGCATACAAGAAAGGAAGAAAGGAAAGACTAGCAGAAATGTACACAAATATTAATAGTGATTGTCTCCAGGTAAAGGCATTATGGGTAATTTTTCTTTTCTTTTTTTAGCATCTTATTTAAAAGATCAAACCAGCACACCAAATCTCTATAAAAACACTTCAACAACAACAACAAAAAAACACTTCAACGAATGTCTTTTAACTCCCGAGCCGTTGTGCACTTTCTTAGCTGAAAAACTTTCATTTTGGCCTCTGACGCAGAAGCGGGGACCCCAGGACTTAGCCAGCCTCTCCTTTCTCCTCAACACCGGTTTCCTGGCTTCAAAGGCAAAGCCAGAAGCTGGCCTTGCCCGGCGGTTCCTGCCCTATGCGCTGCCCTGAACTCCTTGTGTGGACAGAAGCAGACGGGCAGTGGGGGTCATGCCCTGGCAACATCGAGCCGGCCTGGTGACATCCCAGTGGCCGCCCGCCACCAGCCCCGCCCTGGGTCCTTGGGAGAGGTGACCACACGCTTTCCTTGGTGCTGCAGGGGGAGCGGGCTCTGGAGGCTTCCAGGTGCGCCACACCGAGCACACGGTGGCACGAGGGACCTGGCTGCCCCCCACCCGAGGTGCCCGTGCCCGGAGATGCCCAACTGTGCCAGCAACAAGGCCAGTGACTCCCGGGGCTGAGTCGTAGGCAGGACGCCCCCTGCCTGCCCCAGGCCCCAGCGGCCGTGGAAGGAGGATGTCCTGGAGGACGTGGGAGGGGCTGAGACCCGGCCTGGGCCTGGGAGCCTCCGGGAGGCGGCCCTTCGGACAGGATGCACGTGAGGTGTCTCTGCCACTACACGGTGGGTCGCAAGAGCGTAAACGCAGAAAGCGAACCATTGCTCTGGCGAGTCAGCTGACTGGGCGCCCACCCGGGATGCAGAGGGGAGACAGCACCGCAGGGGCTGCTCCCGAGCCCCCCAGGCCCCGGCACCCTGTCACCACCCCTCTTCGACGGGCGAGCAAGGGAAGCCCAGAGGCTAAGTGGCTTGTTCAGGGCCACACAGCACAGAGTGGGAGGGCTGGACTCCAATTCCGGCGAGGAGACCCGAGTCCACGCTCCCTTGCGGGCCCTCCGTGGGCGGGAACCCTCTGTAAACAGAGCGTCACACACATCAGCCAGGTCCGGCCGAGGCCCGCTTCCTTCTGGGACTAGAGACAATGGCTTTGACCAGACCTGACGATGCCGCCCGGCCTCTGGCCCCCGACCTGCACCTGGCAGGCTCTCTGCACCCCCTCCCACCATTCCACGTCAGGCACAGGGCTTCACCACGTAGGCCACAATTACCAGGGTCCCCAGAAAGCCAGCTCAAGGATTGGCCCATCAGCTGTGACGCTGTTAGAAGCAGATTCCATCATTAGGGCACCAGGCACAAGACTGACAGAGAGCCAGCTTCATCGAGGCCAGATCCACACGCGCACAGAGGGACGACCGCTGCCCCAGCTAGACAAAGCAGCTCCACCGGCCCTGCCCAGTCCGCGCCCCCGCCCCCCGCCCCCCGCAGCACCTCTCGGCTTTCTGACGGCGGATCCGTCTTCCTTTCCTAGAGGGGCACAGAAGCAGGGGCACATGGGGTCTGTCCCAGGGGCCCAGCACGGAGCCAAGGCCCAGCCACACAGCGCGCTCTCCCGTGACACGGGCGTGGGGTCCAGCGGGGCTGTGTGAGCCCTGGCAAGGGCTCCTGGCCTGGTGTGGGCTGGCCGGGGCCCAGAAGCTCAGTTCTGACCGCCAGTCTTCTTCATGACCCAGTCAGGTTCACTACCTGCTGGTCCAGGAGCAAGCGGGAGCCAAGCCTGACAGGACTCCTTCACGGGTGGCCTCGGCCCTCGGCGGCGTATCTCTGCTGGAGCAAATGCTCCCACGTTACCTGGGGCCATAATGGCCTGCTGTCTGCTCCAGGGGGTGACAGGCAGGTGGAGATGGAAGATGAACCATCTGGGCAGGCCCTGCCGCTGTCTGCCGACCCCCCCTCAACCGACTGCCGACCTCCCCCCAACCGACCCCTGCTCCGGGCATGAGCCTGACGGGGGCTCCTGGCTGCGGCCGCCCTCCCTGCTGTGGACCACCTGCCGGGGTTGTCAGTCCACCCTCCATGCCCAGAGGTGGGTCTGACTTCAGTGCTCCCTGGGGCAGACTCCATCCCAAGGAACGCCAGCGGCTGCAGTCCAGGGCCCCTCCCACCTGCCCTCCCCTACAGAGCACCCAGAGTCCATCATCTGCTTGGACATGGCTGTCACTTGGCCCCCTACCTCTGGTGCAGTGGGGTCTGCCTACCGTGATAACACGTCAGTCACATGCGCTAACTGGGAGGCCCTTCACCAATGGCAGGCCAACCAGCCCCCCTGCAGAGGGCGGTGGTAGGAAGACGCCCCGCTCCCCCCACTCTCCCTGGCTCCCTCAAGGCCTGCAGACCCGCAGGTGGGAAAGCACTGGCTCAGAGCCCTCAAGAGCACCCCTTCAAAAAATTATATTTAAATTATGTATCACCAGACAATTTTAAGTTGATTTCTATATTTTAAACCCAAGTTTAAATATACAAGGGGTATAAATTCTGGCATTTCAGGAAGTTTTACTTTTTAAATATACAGATCTTCCTTGACTTACAATGGGACGACATCTGGATAAACTCATTACAAGTTGAAGATACTGTTAAGTTGAATTGCATTTAACATGAGTCCCGGAGAGGATGGGAGGCCTGGGAGCCCCAGCTGGGACCCTCCTCCCAGCTCTGGTTCTGACACTGCCCCTCCAGGGGCTTCTGCTGCGAACTCTGAGCCCATGGATCCTGTCACCACGTTGCCGGGGGCTCAGGGCCGGGGGTGAGGGAAGAGCTGGGACCCAAGCCCCGTGGGATCACTGAGCATCACCCCATGCCAGGCGAGGCTCTGCCCTGGTCGCTCCCAGCCTTAACTCGGGCGCTTCTTGTTAGGGGTGAACTGTGCTCCCTCAAAAGGGTATGTTGGGGTCCAGTACCTCGGAGTGAGGCCTCCACAATGGGGTCAAGTTCAGCGAGGCCGTCAGGGCGGCTCTGCTCCAACCTGCCCAGCCTCCTTGTGAGAAGAGGTAAGGATGCAGACCTGCAGGGAGGGAGGGCCCCATAAGGACACAGAGGAGGTGGCACCTGCAAGTGGACACGTGCTCCCCCCTCAGAAGGACCAGCCCTGCTGACACCCTGGTCTCAGGCGTCTGGCCCCCAGGGCTGAGAGAAGCAATGTCTGTGTAAGCCCCCGGCCTGTGGGGCCGAAGCACGGCCCCGGGAGGATGAGCACACCTCTCACCAAGATATAGGCCTTGCTCCCGGGTCCCGCAACCCTGGACGTGCACAAGCCCCTCCGCCACGTCCCGCCGCCCGAGACCCGGGGCCTGCCACGACCCTGGCCCAGCCTTGCCCTGCTCAAGGGCAGGCTCCTCGGCCCCCTGCCCGGCCTCAGGGCCCACCGCCAGACGCCCGCAGGACTCGCTCTTCCCGGCATTGGTCCCTTTGTCCCTCTTCCTCAGAACCTAGCCTCCAGTCAGATGCTCTGACCTTCAGATCTCCTTCCCAGGCACCCCTCATCTTTGCCAAAACCCCACCCTTCCAAGAGTCTTTCCATAGAAACAGAAGTTGAGGTTGAGGGCCTGCCATCCTCCCCACACCCAGAGTGGCAGCCAGGTCCCTCTGTTCCTTCATTCCAGGTAGAGAAGGCCACAGCCCTCTGCACGTGGAAGACTTCTGCCTCACTGATACACAGGCCTGTGTCAGTCCCCCCAGCCTCCGCCAGCAGGGTCTAATCATACAGCTCGGGGAGCAGCGCCCGATCTGGGCTGCCCCCTCAGCCTGCAACAAGTAGGCCCTGCCCCACAGCCGGGCGTCTGAACCTGCGCTGGAGCAGGAACTGGCCGGCCCTGGGGACACTGCTTCAGTGGACCTGCTGCCCTGGTTCCTGAGATCCAAGGCCAAGGCATCGTCACTGACAACAATTCCAGGACCAGTCACCCCTCGGAGCTGTGGTCACAGCCGGCAGCTCACCCTGCCCTGTCGGAGCGTGTCTCCTGAGCAACTGCCCTTGTGCACACAGTGCCTGGTGAAGGGAGAAGACACTAAATATGCCGAAAGTGCCTCGCTTTGGATGTTCCAGCTAGGAAGTCTGGTTTAGGATTAGAAAGAAGTGTTCAGTTACATGTGACCCAAACTCCAAGTCCATAATGCAGGAAAACCAAGGAATGGATGTCACCTTCCCTCCTTCCTTTCTTCCCCTCCTCTGCCTCATTCACTGACCTACCTGTCCATCCACCCACCCACCCATCCATTCATCCTTCCTTCCATCTACCCACCCACCCACCTTGCCCATCCAACCACCCACTCATCCTCTTTCCATCCACCCACCTGCCCAGCCATCCACTCACACTCATCCATCCATCCACCCATCCATCCATCTGTCCCATATTTGAGTGTCTATGTGTACAGCAAGCAGAGCTGACCTGGTCTGCTAGGAGGCAGCAGAGCGGCAAGGCCGTGCCGGCTGGCTGCACCGGGGGAACATACTGGGACAAGCCCTAGGTTTTTGTTCTGCTGTGGATAGTTTTGCTGTTGCTGAGCCAGGAGATACTGGATGAGAAAGTCTGTGAGCAGGACTGACTATTGGAAACATAGGGCAGTAGAGACATAATCTTATCTCAAGCATTTTAAAAGCATCTTAAGATAA